GAGGAAATCATGAGTCCCGACAAATTACACAGGTTTATGGTTTTTATGATGAATGTCTACGTAAATATGGTACTAATTCAGTTTGGCGATGGTGTACTGAAATATTTGACTATCTATCTCTTTCTGCTATAATTGATGGAAAAATATTCTGTGTTCATGGAGGATTGTCGCCAAGTATTCAGACACTTGATCAGATAAGGACTATAGATAGAAAACAAGAAGTGAGTGTAAAACATGTTCAAATATACGTGGTAGTTTTTGATTGTGGCAAGTGAGTATGTAAAAGAGTAATTTCAGTTGTTTTCAGTTAAATAGTTTGCTTTATATATTCATAAAAGTGTTATATAGTAGATTTTTAAGTTCTTTTGTGTAATAAAATTTCAATATAATGCAATTCAAACTATTCTTACATATCACTAATAATAGTTTGAAGAATATTGTAATTACTAAGATTCATTTGCACTAAAAGAAATTTAGTAATTTATCAAAAAACTTTTATGGAGATGCATTTGAAAATAAGAAAATATTTATTTTCTGTCAACAGTATATATACAACTGTTGATATGTAACATGTACATTGCAGTTAAGGTATTGATATAATTAAGTCATTATAAGCAAATCTTGTAAAATATATATTATTTTCGTATAGTATAATATAATGCTAATTAAAATAAAATTAAAAATTTCTATAGGTTCCACATGATGGACCAATGTGTGATTTACTTTGGTCAGATCCTGAAGACACACAGGGTTGGGGAGTTTCACCACGTGGAGCTGGCTACCTTTTTGGAAGTGACGTTGTAGCACAGTTCAATTCAGCAAATGATATTGACATGATATGTAGAGCGCATCAATTAGTTATGGAAGGATATAAATGGCATTTTAATGAAACTGTTTTGACTGTTTGGTCAGCACCTAACTATTGTTACAGGTAATATAATTTTTTTTAAATGTTCAGTAATGTACAAAATTTAAAAATAATTGTTTTAGTAAAACTGATAATAAACAAACTATACGTTTTCGTATCAGATTGAAGTGAAACAAATCTTCTCACTGTGCAGAAGTTTATTTCAGATTATTGAATTCAATAGATTACTCTACTAAATACTATTTTTATTTGTCAAATATTGTGTATAGTATTTAATATTTACACACTTCAAAAATTTCATTAGATATTTCTACAAAAATTCATTAAAATAATTTCAAAATTTATTTTATAATTAATATTAATTTATTACATATTCTTTATTCTTTATCACATATTTACAAGTTTAAAAATTCTCAAATCTTTTCCTCTGTAGTCAAAGCAATACATTAGAAATTCTGAAATCATTATTGCCACATAAGTAGTATTAAGTAAATAATTAATTTCCTTAAATTCCTTAAAAATTATTTGAAATTTGTTTTCACAGATGTGGAAATGTAGCTGCAATATTAGAATTAAATGAACACTTGCAACGAGATTTCACGATATTTGAAGCAGCACCACAGGAAAGTCGAGGAATACCCAGTAAAAAGCCTCAGGCTGATTACTTTTTATAAAGAAATTTCCATTAAAAATGACTGTATAAACCAAAACATCTCCAAATATTTGTTAAAAAAGGAAATCATTTCAGATGATTGCATGATATGTATTTAGGAACATGTAAGCATGTCAATCAAAGAAGGAAGTTCATTACAAGAATATAATAGACAAATGACAAAGTTGATCGGTTTGTAATTGAATGCTATTTAAGATACCACTTTGATATAATAAATATTATGAATACATGTTTTTTTCACTATTATATGTTACTTAGTTATAGAATTGATTAACATTTAATACTACAGTACACGTTATATAACTTCGTTTCCAATATGCATATAAACGTTCATGTTTACTTTTACATAGATTCAGTTAAAAATTTATACTTAGAATAAATTTATGTGAAATGTAAT